TCCTCCCTCCCTCCCTCCTTCCTTTCTCCCTTCTTCCCTCCTTTTCTTCCTTTACAAGACATCTACTTTTAAAGGGAAATTTGTGGTGAGTTATAAAGAACACAGGTACGATAGAACCATTAAAACAAGGACCAAAGTACAAAAACATTGTAAGGAAGAGGACAAGTTTGGGGATAGAAAGTAAATGAAAATCAAAGGCTAGAAGGAGTTGCTAAAAATAAATACAAAACATATCCCTGTGTTTCCTGAGGGCTAAGGCCCCAAACGCACGATAATAAATAATAAAGAACCCATGTTTAACAATAAAAGCATACCAGCTCCTCAGAAAGGATGAACGTTTCCTTGCTCTAGCTGATTTTTTTTGAAGTGGCTCTGAGGGACATCCCTCAGTTTTTGGGTAAACCCAGTGGAAAAGGAGGGGGTTATTGGTACCATCTAAAGAGAAAGATTGAAGGACCGGTATTGTTTGCTGTTACTGTTTTGCTTTGTGCACTGTATTCAGACTTTGTCTTAGTTGGTAAATTCTGGCTTCTCCACTTCACTCCCTTCTTCTCCAGTCATTCTCCTCCTCCCCTTTCCATCCCGTCTCGTCCCATCTCGTGGAAGTATTGAACGCTCTCACTTTAGTCCCTTTACCTGGGCATAGAGATGAATTGTTTTTAAACTTATTCTTTAAGGGGAGGGTCATGGATATCTCTGAGAAACCGATGAAAACTATGAATGTCTTGCTCAGGAAAAATATACATATACACATACAATTTGGGGTAAATTAATTTTACTGCCTTCAAAATTTATTTTCAATATAAACAGAATATATATATCTATGGTTTAGGTTTAACATATTTATATAAACAAGTTATATCTCTCTCACTTTTATTTTCTATGAAAAAGTAATGGCCTCTGTGTAGAAAAAGTACAAAAAAATTTAAATTCTGCCGTAAGTAAATTTCAATTAGAAGTCACTGTTGTTTGGCTATAGAGTGAACATCAATGTGGCTATATGTATACTATTTATATGTTTCATTTTTATAAAACTTACTGTTATTTTTTTTTTTTACTGTATTCTAGGTACTGTGCTAAAAAACTTCACATACCTTCCCTCATTTAATCCTGACAACTGTCTCTGAGGCAGTTATTACTATACCCATGTTACAGTTGCTTGGCTTTCATTTTATTCAATTACATACTCCCCCAAGAGGCAAACTTGAAAATAAATCAAACTCATGTGACTGTTCCTGGAGGGCAGGTTGCATTTTGGGGTTTAAAAAAAGTCCAGAGAAGTCTTTCCAAGATGGAGGAAGCTGGGTTTTAGGCAGCTGTACTTTTATTCAATTTTAATCCTGTTGTTGTAAATCTCTGTTCTGTAGCTTTACCAGTCTCCCTTCTTGCTTCCTCATATAATCACTCTTTAAATCAAGAAAATAATTCCTATGAAAGGGAAGGGATTTTTTTGAGGAAGAAATTTTGTTTTGTAATTGGCTGAGGGGCATGCATTATTTTAACATCAGAATCAGTGATGTTTAAGTTGATGATCCCGTTTTACAAGTCACTTTCTTAAAAGATTCTCTTTTAAAATTCATCAATTTTTGGTTGCGTTGTGTCTTCGTTGCTGTGCGGGCTTTCTCTAGTTGTGGCGAGCTGGGGCTACTCTTTTTTTTTTTTTTTATTTCAATGGTTTTACGAATCAGGAAAATAGCTGCTTTTTTTTTTCCTGGATTTTTTTTTAACATCTTTATTGGAGTATAATTGCTTTACAATGGTGTGTTAGTTTCTGCTTTATAACAAAGTGAATCAGTTATACGTATACATATATCCCCATATCTCTTCCCTCTTGCGTCTCCCTCCCCCCCCCCCTCCCTATCCCACCCCCCCACCCTCCCTATCCCACCCCACTAGGTGGTCACAAAGCACCGAGCTGATCTCCATGTGCTATGCGGCTGCTTCCCGCTAGTTATCTATTTTACGTTTGGTAGTATATATATGTCCCTACCACTCTCTCACTTTGTCACAGCTTACCCTTGCCCCTCCCCGTGTCCTCAAGTCCATTCTCTAGTAGGTCTGTGTCTTTATTCCCATCTTGCCCCTAGGTCCTTCATGACGAATTTTTGTTGTTGTTGTTTTTGTTGTGGTGGTGCGTGGGCTTCTCATTGTGGTGGCTTCTCTTGTTGCGAAGCACAGGCTCTAGGTGTGTGGGCTTCAGTAGCTGTGGTGCACGGGCTTAGTTGCTCCGCGGCATGTGGGATCTTCCCGGACCAGGGATCGAACCCGTGGCGTCTGCGTTGGCAGGCGGATTCTTAAGCACTGCCACCAGGGAAGTCCTACAAGTCACTTTCTTAAATTAAGAGACTAGGACCTTGGTTTAGTGAATTTTTCCTTGATTTTCAGGTACTAGATATTTTTACTTGACATTCTGAATTCAACCCCACCCACAAGTTTATTTTTTATTTTTATTTTTTCAGTACGCGGGCCTCTCACTGTTGTGGCCTCTCCCGTTGCGGAGCACAGGCTCCGGACGCGCAGGCTCAGTGGCCATGGCTCACGGGCCTAGCCGCTCCATGGCATGTGGGATCCTCCTGGACCGGGGCACGAACCTGTGTCCCCTGCATCAGCGGGCGGACTTTCAACCACTGTGCCACCAGGGAAGCCCACCCACAGGGTTTTGATAACACATGTTACTGAAGAACATCTGGTGTAGAGTGTGTACATGAGAGTTGGGGAAAAATACATGAGTAGGGGGAAAAAAGCCGTGCAGCCAGATTGCCTGGTTCTTACTGTGTAAACTGGAGCAAGTTACTCAACATTTCTGTATTGTGGTTTTCCTATTATTAATAATAAATCCTATCTTATAAGGCTGTTGTGAGAATTAGTTAATATGTTTACAGGTTTAAGATGATACCTAGTACACTGTAAGCACTCAATAAATGTTAGCTACTATTTTTCATTTATGTATTTTTTGATAATTTAGTGCATAGTTTTCTCCACTCCCTGAAATATACCTTGAAAAGATGCCGTTGATCTAGTTTGGACCTTTGGATTGAAACTCAACCTATCAAACTGAAAGTCTACAGTAGGTTTAATCATAAATTTCAACTGATTAGCTCAAAATAGAAACAGGAACAGTTCTAAGAACTGCCATATCTCCCTGCATTTGTTTTTCAATATTTATAATTACTAGACCATTGGGGAAATTTTTATTAAAACATTTAAGCAGTTTATTGGAATATGTAACCAGGTTGTTAACATTGAACAACCTTTACCTTAAGTAAAGTCTATACTTTACGTATTTTATTTAATTTTTTAAGTCTTTTTCCCATCATGGAATAAACTTTCATAAACATTGTCGTCTCATTTAAGAATAAACTTTATCCTCACCCAGATATTTCAAATTCCTGGTCTGGGAAAAATGACAGATCCCTGGATCTTTAAACCCCTAAGGACTCCGAGCTAGACACTAGAGTTTCCTGATGGAATTTCTTTGACTAAGGAAAGATATTTTTTATTCCCCCACTTAAACTAGACTTTTCAAAACAGATTCTAATTTTATCTAGTTTAGGAGAAGAAATTTACTTCATGTTTTCTATTTGGAATTTCAAATATTTTCTGCTACTTTTTCAAGCAGCATGAAATGTGAGTGTCACATATGTTCTGCACTTAATTTTCCATGATGTGTAGTAAAGGTGTTAAAAAAGGGCTGGTATTCCTCGAAGTATTATTTATTACAATTTAGAA